CTGACAATTTTTTTGCGAGGCCAGCTAGAAGTAGGTGTAATGATAATTTCTAGATCGAACAGATGGATCGGATGAGTACGTTTCAAGTAGAAACTGGCTCGTTCGGTATGCCTATGTATCGCGTCAACTGTCATTACATGCTGCTGTAGAGCTAAGAGCGCTTTTGGCGAGGTCAAATTTTATGAGTGATATGACGAGTGCGGACAATCAACAACATCCATATTGCAGGAAAGCGACAGGCCAAAAAGTACATCTGCAAAGCATTATCTTTTGGCGTGAGATCGGGTTATTTGATCCCGACCGATCGACAAGGTAATATGCTCCGTGTGTGTCCGACTCTGGATACACAATCTTGGAATTGGAGACGGGCCGACGTCGAATCTCGACAAAGACGACGCATTGCGCGACGAGGAAAGCCGAGTTTGACAACCATCGCCGAACGGAAAGCAATGCGTCGCGGAATTCCGCGAGATAAATTTCTTTACACTAATACGAACAACAAGCAGACGGCTTCAAAAAGAAAAACACGACCTGCTCAAAATCTTGCCAAAAGTTTAAATACGCAGGAGAGCAATTCACGACAATCGCTTTGTAAATCGTTACACGAGAAAAGCAAACCGAAAGCTTTTACAAGAAAGGACAGGTTTTCATTTCATTTAAAAAGAGATACTTATTATAATTACTTTTTATATTATAATTGTTTTACAAGTTTTATGATTTAAAGCAAGTCTCATAAATCTTTCACTATATGTCCTAGGCTTTCACAATCGTTTGATATGAAAATAATGCGCACTGCCTCAGCATTAAAATTTTATACAAAACACACTTTTATATTTTAATATTTTCTCTCACAAAATTGGAAATCGTAAAAAAAAATTAGATAGCTATCTATTATATATGAATCCGTTTCTAAAAACTCACTTTACTTTTTTCTTATATCTCTTTTGCTTTACATATACAAAAATTTAACGAGCTTAACTGTGTTATGAAAATGCATTTAATGGACTTTAATATGATACAGACGTTTTAATACACTTAAATGCATTATGAATGCCTTAGATTTAAACATGGAAAACAAGAAGATAAAAAAAGAGTAGTATTAAATTCTTTTATTCTCGTACCTCTATTATATTCATGGGTAGCATAATGATGTTTATAATATTGCTTTACGGAATTTTGCTAGTGTATATTCGTTTTTCAAAAAGAAAAATTAATTTATTTGCACGATGTTTGTTTTAGCAAAATTAACAATGTGATCAACAATAAGCGAGGACAAAAAAAAGATGACGGAAACATAAAGAAGTCAATTAAAAAACGTCGTATGTCTTTTTCTGCTAAATATGCTCAGAATGATCGTGAACCAGTTGAGGAAAGTTATAAGGACGTTAACGAAAAAGATCGCAATCAATACGAAAGCAATAAAGATAATTATAAAATTGAGGAACAAAAGTCAACGTCGAGTCAAGAAGACGAATCGAGAATGGAGAAACGAAAAGCCGAGGCAGATATCAATAATAACGGGATACATTACGACAGAATAGAAAGTAGAAATTCTAATGATGAAAACGATAATAATGATAAAAGGTCTGAAAAGGGAAGTGTCGACCATAACATGAGCGACAATTAAAGAAATGGAATTTTAAAGAATTAAATTTCAATCTTGAATGACGCCTTTCTTAGTCAAAAACGAGAATTTCTTTTCTTTTGTACTCTTTTGTTTTTTTACTATTTGTAAAATATATTTATTACCTACATTTTTTAAATTAATTTGAAATTATATTTTTGTATCCAAGTATGTGTATGTATATATATCTATCATTCTTTCCGATATTTTCTTTTATATAAGAATAAATCTTAATGAATATCTCAACGTTTTATCGTAAGAGGTGACTATTTCACTTTTATATGTGAATTTTTTACTCACTCATACATCACACACACACACACACACGCACGTACGCACGCACACAATTGTAATATACATGTATATTACTACGCGATTTATTAAAAATTATTGAATAAATCTGTTTTTTATTCCTTGCGCACTAGATTTTTCGACTAGACTATACTAGAAAGAGAGAACTCTCTTTCTCCAAATATCAAATATATACCTATCTTATTTTAAATTCCAAAAATATATGTATATACATATATAATTTAGCTACAGAAAATTTAACAATTAATCGATTAGTCGAACAATAATTGCAAATCGTATATATAAAAAAAAGAAGAACCTAAAAAGTATCATTGGTCTTCCTTTTTTAATTTTCAACGTCATCTTAAACGATTTTAAACAAAATTCGCTTCATGATCGACTGATTGATCAACAAATTCACAAAATTAAACTAAGTTGTATATTTAACAATTAAACAACAAATCTTTCACGAAATCTAAAAAGAAAAAATAATAAAACTAACAGAGCTAACAATAACCCCAAAATGTCTCCCATCAAGAAACATCGTAACACGTCAAATCATCAAGAAATGAGTGAGTAATTATTTCAATACAAATTATAAGAATTCATATCGGTTCCTTTATAATGTGTTCATATTTTTTTAAGCTGTATCTTATACAAATTTTAATACGGAATAAGTATAAAAAAGTATTTTCTAAATTTGATATCTGCTTTGTATATCACATAAATTAGTTTGTTATATTATTGTATTTCATTATATATGAAGTATTATTCCTAGTTAATTTATATTTAAGATGCAGTCTTTTAATTTTCGGTTTTTTTTTTAATTAAAATTGACAAGAAATCAACATTAATATTAAAATATTAATAGTGTGCATTAGATGTGATTTTTCTTACATTTTAACCTTATTTGATTAATTGTGAAATACTAAAAATGAAGTAAAAAAATTTCAATAAAATAAAAATATATATTTTATTTATCATAATATAATCTAAAGAACATCGTCGTCGCAAACCTAATATTCCCGAGTTAGTCTACAAGTTCCTTATTGCGAATGAAGCTTTTGATGGTAATGAATGTTGTCTTGTAAACAAGTGCCGTTGTTGCGATCAAGGGAAACATCATGAAGTCATAGACCCTATTTCAACCATCGGCGAAAGCACGGGCTGCAGAATAAGGCAAAGATGGCGCAAAGACATTGGCAGGATTTCGAAATTGCACAATGTCAATCAGTGTCCTATCTCCAAAAATCAGCCAATTTCATATTTACAAAAATGCATGGATAGAAAACGTACGAAATTAATTGAAAAAATTAGTTTCAGATTACTATATATAAAAATTTAGATTGTAATTATGATGATAATTAAAAGATTTAAATGAAAAACACATTCAGTGTTTATTACACTTCTGCAAATATTCTATATATGACTAATAATTAAATTAGATGTACCATATACAATTACAACTTGATTTTGATAATAATTTAATTGATAATAATATTTATAATAATAATATTAGATAATGATATTTATAACCATAATAGAATTTATACACATATATATGTATTTATATTTACTTAATTTATTATTATATATCTATACTTATATTATATATATATATATCTATACTTTATGTATTTTTTATTATATGTTTTATATATATTTTGATACATTTAATATCTTAAGGCAATTGAAAAAGTAATGCACGAGAAGATTTTATTCGGATAACTTTTTACTTGGAATAAATTTTCATAAATTTTTTTCGATAGATACGAAAGAGGCAAAAAAGTATATAAAAAAGGCGTTAACCTTTGGTGTCGAGTCCGGATACCTTATCCCTTCTGATCCCACTTACAGAATTCTACACGTGTCCTCAGACTTAATGAAAAGCGATTTGCGAAGAAACAAGATCAGCAATTGCGATATGATTATCTCTAAGAATCGTGATATTCTAACGAGGATGCAAAACGAAGATTTCCAAAAGCAAAAGAGGACACAAAGAAGGCAAGGAAGATATAGACGAGATCAAAGATTAAGAAGCGTTTCGAGGACACGCCATAAAAGCAGAAGAAAGAAGAGAAGGAACTCTTGTAGAAAGATGTAGATACAACAGGTAATTGTTAGGTATCCATATATATAATAACATATAATTCGCGATGTAAATATAATAATCAAAAGATCTCGAAGGTATACAAAAATTCGGTTAAAAAGAGTTGTCGCAATTTAAACAAAAATTATCGTGATCAACAATAAAAAAGCAAGAAGAATAAAACTTAAAATTATTATATTTCGATTCTTAAATCGAAGTGATTCAACTCTTTTATTTAAGTTGAAGTAAATTTCAAAGGTAAAAGAAAACAAACACAAATTTGTAAACGTGCTGATAAAATTTATTATACATTTACATAATTTATTAATTATTTAATACATATAAATAATTTTTAAACATATTTTTTAAACATATAATTAAAACATATAAATAATTTAGATTATTAAAGAACTAAATATATGTAAATAAAAGAAAAGATATTTATAATGTGATATACGAGTATGTAGTTTCTCCCCAATAATAAACGCATCGTTTCTTACGATCAATAGAATTATTTTTATCTCCGCATAATTGTTCCTTGTTAGGCGAAATAATTAGAATCTAGCGTTATAATCGATCAGAGTGTTCGCGCGTCAACCAGTGTAGGTTTAGAAACGCGATAAAATGGTCAAAGAAATTTCCAGCCGGTAGAATACCGAAGAGGTTACTGGTAATGATGAGGCAGACAATTACGAGATGAATGAGAACGATTCAAAGAGCAATATTCACACGGATGTAAAAATGAAATCAAAGACCATTCGATCGAATCCACTAACGAGGAACAATCCACGAAGAAAATTGAAGGAGATGAATCGGATTTATCGATCGACGATTTATGAACCTAATCATGAAATTGAGAAAAAACATTTTGATATTATTAAATCGTCAATCAATTTCTCAAAGTTGAACAGAATTGCAATTTAGTAAAAGAATTAGAAAATAGTATCGGAATTTCAGAAATTAAAATCAAAATTCAGAGATGAAGAAGAAGTAATGTGCAAATAAAATGCAATTTATTCAATATTTTTTCTTAATAGGGATATAAACACACACACACACACACACACACACACACACACACACACACACACACAGTATGTATTTGAAATATCTTTATTTGAAAAACAGTATTTGTAAGACAATTGTATTTTGTATTTCGTATTTTATAAGAGCATATAAAAATATTTTGTATTTCAAATACTAAAATTTAACAATCAATCTTATCATTTGTATTACAAAATACAAAAATTTTTAATTTTTCAATTTTAATTACAAAATATATGATACTTTCATGTGCGCCACTGAAATACAAAATACAAAATATATTTGTACTGCAAATAATGTGTTTTAAATAAAAGTATTTCAAATTATGCCATCCTTATATATATATTATGTATAATAAAATAAAAGGTATCGCAGGCAAGAGACAATAAAGAGAACGAGAATGATTTCCTCGTACAACAGAGGCTAATTCTTATACTAATAATTTACTTATAAACATATATGAGAGAGAGAGAGAGAGAGAGAGAGAGAGAGAAAGAGAATTTAAAAAAAATTATCTATTTCCAAACTTATTACTTACCAGCCGAATCATGTGGAACATTTTAAATTTCGACGCGTACACATGTCACAACGTGACAAAAAAAATGCGAAAACATCATATTAGAAAAATAGCTTAGAATATTATGCTTTCGATAAGATAAGTTGTTAAGAAAAGAAAAATAAGATTAGCCTGCAGATTGCAGAAAGCGTACATTGAATGATTATGTGGGAAATAATAATAGGGATAATTCTTAATTGGATAAATATAGAGATGATATTCAATAAATTCTGTAACGCGTGTGTTAGAGAAGTGGATATAAATGCGATATCTGTGAAATTTTTATCTCTGGGCACACCAAAAGCACTACAAATCTGCCTATCGGATTATTCTTCATATTAAAATAGTGGAGGAGATCATATCAGACAGTTTAAAGCTCTATATCTAAATAGGTAATATTTTCCCTTTAATTTAAAAGCAAACTGGGAAATGTAAAGTTTATTATTAGCTTTGAAATTCTATTTCGCCTTTTTTGGTGAAATTATCAAAAAAATACTTTAATTCATGTAAACCCAACCAAAAACATTGTATTTATACATTTTATAGAAAAGAAAAACACGAAAAAATTAAGACATTATGAAGTTTTAATAAACACGTGCAAAAAAAATTATATATTTTTTAAAAGATAAAATTTTTTTTTTTTACAGAGAGATAGTGTTACTTTTACTTATCAAAATTAGATTAAGAATAGAAACTAAAGCATATACGAATTTATTCCTTTTTTTTAATTAATAGCTGTTTATCAAGCAGGACGTATTTCACATTATTTTAAAATAATGATAAAATTTATATATTTTCGAACATATAATGTAGTTTGCATTCTGGCATGCAGCGGGGTCATTTGATTTTAAAATCAATTGGCATTTACTACTTTGACTCGAGAAATTCGAGACTTTATTTGTTGTACGCTAGGAGAAATACAATGCGAAATACACATCTCTACAGCTCTTAAATACGTACCTCCTACTTCGCTGAAGATGATTCGATTGAAGTATGGCCGAAACGTTCGAAATTAATAAGGTTAAGAAGACAAAAATATATTCTACAAGATTATGCAAAGGAATCTGCGGAGTTACTCTTATTTTTTCGTTTATTAAAAAAAAATATCAATTCGTTTTTTATATTACATTTTAGCAATTTTCCCAGCATTTCCGGACATAAATTTTTAGATCCTCTCTTTCCGTGTATTACTCATATGTTATCACTGCGCAAGATTTCTTTTAACAGAGCAAACTTGAAGCATCTCTTCAATAAAAAAATGCTTTTCGTTCTAATAAATTTATTTAAGATTAAAATTTAATGAAATAAGTATCATTCATATGCTATTTGTTTCAACGAATAGCTAATAAAATTCGTTATAGATCTCGTTGCATTATATAATTCATCGATCGAAAGCTATGAATTGAAAAGCCGACGATCTGTTTCAACAGAATTTGTTACGGGGGGGAGGGGGGGGGGAAGACCACAAAACTTTATGTAAATCCATCTTACCAGCTTACGGTATCACTTTCATTGCACTCAAAAACCCTCACTTAGAGTGGTCCAATGCACTTATAAGTTGAACAATCGTATCTTGGCCTTGGCTAGCTTCTAACAATAATAAGTTGCAAGATACATCATCGTATTACTGTCTACTTTTTACTGTTTTCTATTTTATTCCATTCTATGTAATTATAATTTCAAACCTTTATCTTTATATTTTATTTTATACTTATCTTATCCTTATTCTCTTACAAAGCATTCTACAAAATTAAAGGCATATTTTTTAAGCATTATTTATTTATAACGTATAACAAAGAAAAATAATAGGAAATTATATTCTGTTAAATTCTTTTTTATTTTTGAGATTAAACTTTACTTTATTATCTTTTCAGTGTCGCGAACCAAACTAGTGCAAACTATTGTTTGTATAAAGTTTTAAATTAAGTATCTAAATAATAGACAAGCTATAAAAGCAATAAAAATATGCGCAAATCTGATTGTGAGATTACTTACAATGAAGATG